AAGAAGATTAAAAATTTAAAGTGAAAAACTTTAAAGACAGAAGTATAGAAAGTTAAAATGAAAAAAGATAAAAAAGATGTAGAAAGATAGAAAAGATGTAGGAAGACAAGAATTTTAAACCCACAAAACAGGAAAAAAAAAACTAGGAGGAAAATAAGCAACTAAGGGTAAATATACAAACCTTAGGGGGGGAAAAAAAAACTAGAAGATAGAAATAAGATAAAAAATGGTTGAAAATATCAAGTAAGGTATTACAGATAGAAAATGCAAAAAGCTAAGACAACTATTAGATACAGACATATACTTATTAAAGCAAAAAGAGGGAATTGGAAGGGGGTATATATCCCCCAAAGATAAACTTAAAATAACGCTTTTTACACTAAACTTTTTAAAATTTAGATTCATCAGGACTTAGTGCTGCGGAAAGGCATATGTATCCAAAATATGTACATAAGCCTAAGGTACTTTGGAAAGATATTCTAACAGGACAATGGAAAGGTCCTGACCCAGTGATTGTCTGGAGTCGGGGGTCTGTTTGTGTTTTTCCACAGGGAGAACAGCAGCCAATTTGGATTCCAGAGAGATTAACTAAAACAATTTCTACAGATCGAAAAGAAGATAATTTGACTCAAATCCATAACAGCTGATATCCAGAACTCCAGCTTGGCCATTCTTACATCTGCGACAGTGATTAACCAGGATGCTTTTTTCAATAGCTATTTTATTATTGCATTTTTCTACATCATAAGGTTCTATTTTTATTTTTTGAGCTCATACAAACCTAGGTTAATGTTTTTCTGATCAGTTTTATTTTTTGACTGTGGAGTTTTTAAACATTGCAATGGAGATTTCACCCAGGTAAAGCTACAAGGCCTTTATTATTTTCTTATGTGTTGTACGTTTGTGTACACTCTTGTGTTTTGTGTTGTATGTCTGTATGTGCGTACGTCCATATTTCTTATATGAGGAGCGCTCATGAAAAAATGGATCCGAATTATTATTTTTTTTTATTCACGTGATTTAAATGGTTTAATTTAAATTAGGTAAACAGCTGTTAAGGATTGTTTTTAAAGTAGGTTAACAGATCTGTTTGTTTACTTTCACCTTTCTTTTTCATTATATTTAATAATTCTTTTCAGGATAATGTCTCTTTAGCATCATTGCCAGAATTCCTATCTCCATCCCAGTGCCGGTGAAGACAAAGATAAAACCAGACTACAGCTTCTATGATAGCTATCACAGTAAACTGTATAAACTGATGCATCAATGAATTTAACTCAACAAGTAATGCTCAATCAAGGAGTCAACTTACTTTGGGAGGAAACGGATTTTGGGAGGAAATGGACATATTGATAGATTCCTCCGCTTTGAACTGCTTGCAGAACTTGCCTGGACTATGTAACTATCGTTTCGTGCAGCGAATTGTGGTAATGCTGGCATATCTTTGCTGATGGTGTCACTAGTGATGCAATTTTTATTTCCTTGCCAGCACACCCCATGTTAATTGTGGTAGTGCTGACATATCTTTGCTGATGGTGTCACCAGTGATGCAATTTTTCCCAAGGAGCCGTCAATTGGCTTGGTGTCCTGGCATTTCTGTATCCTCCTCCCTTCTGCTAGTGATGGTCTAAAATTTGGGGGCCAATGGCTTATGCTGGACCAGTAGTCAGTGACGGGTATGATTCAATTGCAGTGGTATCAACCTAAGACAGGAGGCTGACGCCTAAAGGTCAGTTTTCCGATGACGGGTAAGAACCATATGTTGAATTGGACAACCTACCAGGCACGGTCCTTAAGCCACATTGCTTGTTGTTTAATTAATCAGAAGAGGGGAGATGCTGGGAGCCATTAGCCAAATAGGTATGACAATTTCCTTGCCAGCGTACCCCATGTTGCAGTGACATTGAATGTAGGTGACCTTGCTCAAGGACCAGGGCGGATTAGGCTGTTCCCAGTTTATGTAAATCTATAAAGGACCCATGTTAAAAATAAATGAATAAGAATTACAGGCGCACGCTGGGAAACCATCTCTAGCTGTCAGAGAAATGCAAATCAAAACCACCCTAAGATACCATCTCATTCCAGTAAGATTGGCAGCCATTATGAAGTCAAACAGCAACAAGTGCTGGTGAGCATGTGGGGAAAAGGGTACACTTGTACATTGCTGGTGGGACTGCAAATTGGTGCAGCCAATTTGGAAAGCAGTATGGAGATTTCTTGGAAAGCTGGGAATGGAACCACCATTTGACCCAGCTATTCCCCTTCTCGGTCTATTCCCTAAAGACCTAAAAAGAGCATGCTACAGGGACACTGCTACATCGATGTTCATAACAGCACAATTCACAATAGCAAGACTGTGGAACCAACCTAGATGCCCTTCAATAGACGAATGGATAAAAAAAAATGTGGCATTTATACACAATGGAGTATTACTCTGCATTAAAAAATGACAAAATCATAGAATTTGCAGGGAAATGGATGGCATTAGAGCAGATTATGCTAAGTGAAGCTAGCCAATCCCTAAAAAACAAATGCCAAATGTCTTCTTTGATATAAGGAGAGTAACTAAGAACAGAGTAGGGACGAAGAGCATGAGAAGAAGATTAACATTAAACAGGGATGAGAGGTGGGAGGGAAAGGGAGAGAGAAGGGAAATTGCATGGAAATGGAAGGAGACCCTCAGGGTTATACAAAATTACATACAAGAGGAAGTGAGGGGAAAGGGAAAAATAATACAAGGGGGAGAAATGAATGACAGTAGAGGGGGTAGAGAGAGAAGAGGGGAGGGGAGGGGAGGGGAGGGGGGATAGTAGAGGATAGGAAAGGCAGCAGAACACAACAGACACTAGTATGGCAATATGTAAATCAATGGATGTGTAACTGATGTGATTCTGCAATCTGTATATGGGGTAAAAATGGGAGCTCATAACCCACTTGAATCAAAGTGTGAAATATGATATATCAAGAACTATGTAATGTTTTGAACAACCAATAATAAAAATAAAATAATAAAATGAATCAGGTCAACCCAAAAAAAATTAAAAAAATAAATGAATAAAAGACAGACTGGTAGAGTACAGGAAGAGGAACAGGGGGAGAAAGAAAGGGAGGGAAAGAGGAAGGATGGGAGACAGAAACGGAACAAACTGTATTCCATGCATGTGCAATTATGTCAAAACGAACCCTGATGGTATGTGCACTGGAATGCACTAACAAAACATTATTTTAAAATATTTAAAATCAGAAAAAAGAAGGATGTTCTTTCACTGAAAAGAATCAGGACACAGCCACCAAACAAAAAGGAATTTAATCCCGGGTAAGTGAAAATGAGAGCTCTATCAACAGTCATTCACAGAAACATCCAGAAATGGGGACTCAGCCTGTGAGCTTTTGCTCACACAGGAAGCAGCTATCTCCTGTAAGACCTGACCACACAGTGGGAAATATGGAAACCCGGAAGCTCATTTTCATCTGAAATGGTACTTGTTTGGATTTGTTAAAGACCCTCTGCTCTTTTTTACTCATGCCCCCACCTTTCTTTGTCTCTTTCCAAATAAACAATGAATTTAGAAATATATGTGTGGTGAGTATACGTACATATATGATATTATAATGTGTGTATACATGTCCATATATGTATGTGGTGAGAAAATGTATGTATACATATATATGTATATGTGTGTATATACACACACATAATATGTTAAAACTGTCTGTATTTTCCCCAAGAAAAATCAGTCTTGGCAATTTATTATCCATGCATTCAGATATGTCACTTAGGATATGCAGAACAGAATGAGATGGAGGTTTGTTTAAAAATAAGGAAAGAAAGATATTACAGTCTTATTGAGTAAAAAATACCCCCATAGTACAAGTTCTGCAGCATTGTGACCAAATCTTGTTCCATAATTGAGGGTCTATCTTACTGGCAAGAAGTGGGCTTGGGAGGAGGCAGAGCTCTTCTGCTATCAATGACACAAGGGCTGGAGGTTGCAGAAAACAATTGTGCAAACTGCTCAAATGTGTCTACACTTAAATAATGACCTTTATTTGCTTCAGCACCTGGATTTGATTTTAAAAAATGACTGAATCATGTGAACCCAGTTTGTTCTATTCCCAGAGTTTCTTGGGTATTTCATTCCTATTTAGTTTTGATTGCTTTTTAAATGATGGGACCAAAATGTGGTCCCAGGATGCAGAATGTTTCCGCAGAGGTCCCATGGTATCATCCACCAGGAAACTAAATAACCAACTGACTCCACTGGGTTGCAACCAAATACAATGCCCACCTGTCTATGTAGTCTGTCTAGTTTTCTGTAAAAAAAAAAAAAATGTCATTTTCACTGACACTGGAGAAATAAGAAGAAGGACATCCCCAGACCAGACCTTTGCTGATGACCACTACCAAAGAGTCAGTGTACTACTACGGAAATACATCAACACTCACACCCACACCCACAAAAGACTCTTCTCACTTTTGCCCCAAGTCTGTGACATTATGTACAAAGGAGACGAGCAAAGGGGAATTGGAGAAAATATGTGACTTAAGTAAAACATGTGAAATGTAGTTGTTTTATATATTAGCATGAACAAAGATACCATCTGGAGTTTAAATCTGGTCTGATTTTTTAAATATATGACAATATGTGAACAAAACATTTTGAAAATTCTTAGTCTTTTTAAGAGCAAGCTGTGACTAGCTCTGCGACCTTACATATGCCATTTAACTCCTCTCAGTCTAGGTTTATTTATCTGTAAAATTGTATCTGCCCCACGAGCTAAGAGGGCATTTTTGAAATAATGGATGTGTAAACACTGAGCAGACCTGAAGCAAAGTGGAATGGAATTATTTCCGGGAAGCAGTCTGATGTCAAACAAATAACACAGTCACTGCAGTTAGGAAATCTTATCCAATTTAGATTCCTAATAGCCAGGTATAAGAACAAGAACTAGCAATAAATAATAATAATAATAATAATAATAATAAATCATTAGCCCACTTTGTAGTCAGACAAGTACAGACTCTATTTAATAATGAGAACAATGTTGCAAGACAAAGTTAAATTGCCAATATGCCCACTACCTGCCCCCTACCCGCCCCCAAAAAAGAGAAAAATCAAAAGAAAATAACTAAGGCAGCTTCAAATTTAAATGTAAAAAAAAAAAACCATGAGGATATTGCTTGGCATTAAGGAAAAAAAAGATGCACAGCTATAAACTTTAGGAAAACCACTTCAGAAATGAAAATTGGCCACATTTTGCAAGGCATCCAAATGATGAGCCTATCTCACTAAGACGTCCTCTAAAGTGTGAGGTTAGGACGAGCGTCCACCCAGCCAACCAGGACGCCAAGTTTGTGAATACATCAATGCTGCACACTCATGGTGTTGCATCTGCTTTCCACAATAGGTTCCCAGCAGCCTAATTTGGAGGTTCAGGGAGTCTGCATTTATCAGTTTTTAAGATTTCAATTCTGCTGTGTTCAGGGATAGCATAAGTAAAGCAAACTTTCAAAATCAAAGTAACATGCATCCAAATAACAGGTACTTTATCTGATAGCTATGTTAAAATATTTATGTGGCAGGAATTTCAAAACAAGGCTGAGTAATATATTAGGTGCATATTTGTGGAAAATATCTCATTTTTGCTTATTATGTTTTTCTGAGAAGAAGTGAATCAGTAAGCCATATCTGAGGAAAGTTATTAATAATTCATCTGTTTATGTTTAAATATGAAAGATCTATAATTTAAAAAATAAAGCTAGTCTTGCTATTAATGGTAATGACAGTGACATAAAGGCTACCTATGAGAGACAGTTAAGTTTAGCCTAACATCCGCACATCAGAAGGACCAGAGGGATTTGGTGGATAGTCAGGGCAGTCTTGAGGTCTCTCAGACACAGAGATACACACTTTCCTGCCCACCATTGAACTGGATCCACTACCTGTGTGTTTCTGATTACTTCTACCTCTCTATCAAAAGTCTTCTGGGGCATTCTGTCTTTTTTCCTCCCACTTTCTACTTGACTCATAACTCCATCTTTCCTAGGATTTTGACTTCACAGGAACCCCAAGACCCTGCCTCACCTCCTGTAGCCTTTCAACCTTCAACTTCAGCTTCCAGGTCAGAGACTGTGATTGACAACTCATATTCCCAGGACAGATGATTTGGCTTCTTCTCATCTCATGTCGATTTATCACACAGATTTCTGGCTCAGCTTTGGTTCGATGCCACTTTTGGTCTAAACGTCTGACAATGGGAAAGTCACAAGGTTTTCACGATAGGGAATTTAGATGAGGGACCTTCACTTATTATATAATGAGATCCCTCCGTGACTATGAAAATATAAGAAAGATAATAAATATCTTAAGCATTCTATGCCCTACTCGTGAGATTTTTGTAATCATCCTATGAGATAACTTACATGCAAGCCCTTTGTAACATCTAAGGTGAAGTATATGTGATATAAATGTGCATAAATGTAAATCACTTAGTTATGTCTATATAATGATTGACTGAATACTGGAGGGCCATTCATCAAGAATAAGTACTTGTTGGGCTGGGGACATAGCTCAGTTGGTAGAGTGCTTACGTCACATGCACAAGGCCCTGGATTCAATCCCCAGCACCTCCACCAACAAAAAAAAAAAAAAATAGAACAAGTGCTTGTTAAGGATTCCCTCACATGAGCCTGCCATCTGAGTTAAAGCTTCTTCATTTAATTCAGTTCAAATGAATATTGCCATGGTTATCTTCTGTCCATATAAAACTACACTTAGGGGTCTGGTCTGACGCAAAACACTGCCTTGGTACTTCCACAAAAGAATTAAAATCTTTTCCTAAAAATATTTGTCATGACTCTAATCAACATTTATCAGTTATCAGCTGCCAGAAAGACACCAAATAAGATTCTATCCTGAAGGTGTTACTATCCTGAACAATTGAAAAATGGAATCCAGAATGCTGACAACATGAATGAGAAATGGTTGTTTGGGGAATAGTTTACCCAACTGGGCCTTTGGAGGGCATAGTCTCCTCACAAAATCACCTTCATTTCTCACACCAGTTGTTTAGCTGAAACCACCTTCTGTTTCCATAATTCTCTGGAATGACTCACAGAACTCACTAAAAGTTGTTACACTCACAGTCGGGGTTTATTACAGGGAAAGGATATGAAATAGGGTCATCTAAAGGATGAGGTGCAGAGGGCAGAGTCCAGGAAGGGAAACGCAGAGCTTCCGCTGTCCTCTTGCATGGAGAAATGGACACATTACTCTTCCAGCATCAGTGTGGGATAGAATACCTGAAGTAGTGCTGATCAGGAAGCTCTCCTGAGCCTGGGCTGGCTAGGTCTACTGGGGCGCAACTACATGAGGTCCATGTGCTTACCCTTCAGTCCACAGGTTCTCCCAGAGTCAGGCTCACAAAGTCAGTCTCCAGTCCCCTCCACAGGAAGCCCCCAGCCCAAATCACAGAGGCCAAGCTTCCAGGCAAAGAGGATGACCCCCTCAGGCATGAAATCAAGATTTAGAGATCAGTTCTGGTAGTCTAGGGCAAATGCTGGACCTCTCTTTGGTTCAGGTCAATCCTTCACTACTTCACAATGACTAAGTATAATAAGAATAGATTTACCTCATTCAGGATTTTGGTAAGACCCTCAGGGAAAGTAGAAACCATTGGTGAGGCTAGAGCAGAGCTACGTGAAATCAATAGGATGTACACACAAGTAAATGTATGGACCAAAGTAACCTAAGAAAGGTTCCAAACCAGGTATTTCTACCACCTGCTTTCCCATTTATTGTTAGATAGTTTTGTTGAGGGATAACCTATATATCATAAAATTCAGGCATTTAAATTGTATAACTCAATATTTTTATTGAGTAAATATGGGCAATTATAACTTTACCAATACATATGGATATTTTGCAGATTGCAAAATTTTACATTTAATTCAGTTTTGTAAATATTTTACAAAAATATTTCACAGAGCCATGAAATTATTATCATATCCAATTTTAAATCACTTCTGTTGTTCTAGAAAGATCCTCTGTGCCGATTTTTAATTAATCCCTGTTCTAACACCCAACCCTAGGAAATCCCTAATCTGCTTCTTAACTCTGTAAATTTAACTTTTCTGAACACTGCATATAAATGGTATCTTATAATATGTAGTCATTTTCACTGGACTTGTTGGCATAGTTTTTGAGATTCATTCATGTAGCACAAATTAGTGGCTTAATCCTTTTTTATTGCTGAGTTGTATTCCATTGTGTGGATACATCATATTTTGTCATTCATTCAGGAGCTGATGGACTTTTGGATTTTTGTCACTTCTTCCAATTATGTACAATGGTGCTATTCTGAACAAACCTTTAGGGCACCTGTTTTTTTATTTATCTTAGCTAGATGTGTAGGAATGTTTTTGTAAACTGTTTAACTTTTTAAGAAATTATCTAGCTGTTTTCCAAAGTAGTTGTTATATTTTAAATCCCCACCAGCAGAGGTGAGTGCTCCCAGTCCTTCAGGTCCTTGCCCACCCTCCTTGCCTCCTGCCTTTCTGAGAGCCATCTTGGTGGTGCTATGATTTGAGTGTGTCTCCTTTAAACCATGTGTTGGAAACAGAATCCCTGAGGTCACATGCTGGTGGTATCAGGAGTGGGACCTTAGAGAGTAACTGGGATTAGATGAGGTCATGAGGGTGGAGCCACATAATGACATTAATGGATTTATAAGAGAGAAAGAGAGACCCAAGCTTGTGGGCTTTCTCTGTCTTAACATGTGAAACTCTCTGCCATATCATGAAAGCAAAACTGCCCTCACCAGAGGCTGGCACCTTGATACAGGGATTCCCATGCACCAGAACTGTAGGCTAAATAAACCTCCATTCTTTCTGAGTCATCCAGTCTGTGGTATACACTTATAGCAACAGAAAATGGACTGAAAGAAGTGGGTAAGAAGTGACTTTGCACTTTTTAAAAAAAAAACAGTTTATAACTATACTGGTAAAGTACTGTGGTTATTGAGTAGTGCATCAAAGGAAATGTCAAGTTCAGTAACAGATGCTCCATCTCTGCCTTTACCCTGCAGGAGAGATCTGGCTGCACTTATTCTTGTTTGAAACTTTCATATCTTAAACCTGTTACTTGTAGTTATTGCTGGAAAATACCAAATGCATTATTATTATTGCTCTTCACAACTGTCACATCTTTTTATATTTCTGGTGACAAGCACAATGTTCTTTCTTTGTAAAATTGCCCATATTTACTAAAACAAACTGTAGAAAAAGTGGAATGGGTAAGATATAAACAGAAATTGTGGCAGGATGGACATGAATTTGAACATATGCTGTGTTTAGATAAATGGTGGAAAGACTCCACAGTGTAATAAGGAAGGACATTGCCACACTTCACAATGTGATTGATTGGTTGACCTGATGATTAAACTTAAATTTACAACAGAAATAGTCCAGACATGACTGCCTCATTCTTCACTTGCAGAAACCACCATGTGCAACAGATGAAAATGTGGGAAGTGAGAAAAAAGTGGGAAAAAAAAATACAAAGGGAAGGCAAAAAAGAAAGAAGATTGCAATGTATGATTTATAAATGGCATCAACAGGCACTTAAATATTTAATCTCATGCAATTTTGTAATGTAAAGCACTTCCAACCTGATGATTTTTGAGAGCAGAGGGTAGGGTTTTGCAGAAATGGCATTTAAGAGATATAGGGAGCTGTCAGCATCTGTGGACCACTGACTCAGTTTCCTTTTCTGGGCACCATGACACTGCTTTGATGATACTGAGTGTACAAAAATCAGGAGAGTCGACTACTTGTAAATATTACCTCCATTCAGTGCTTTCCCACTGTGTGCTGCTTGTCCAGCAGTTTACCTGGCAATATGTGGAGGTATGTAGGGTTGTCACCACACCTGTGCATCCACCCGTGCACAGACTAGGCTCCCACAACACAAAGCTGTCTGGTCCAAAGTCAGAAGTTCTGAGGTTGAAGAACACTGCCTTAAGTAAAAGCAAGCTGGTTATGCATAGAAAGTCTACCCAAGTACTAAAAAGTTGCTTAAAATTAAAAGACTGCTCAGTGTACAACTTGACCTTTTACTCAAACTACTGGCAGTTTTGCCCACAACTGGGTAGTCCTTGGATCCCCAGGCCAAGGAAAGGTACACTATGATACACTGCCTGTATTTTTCTGCATAGTTACGTTCCTTTCAGTAACACTTTTAGCTTTGGTTTGCTAATCATGGACAACATCCGTGAATTCAGTCTAAACCCATGTTAGGAAGCTTCCTGTTATTTGTCTTTAAGAACTGCAGTAATAGGTGTTACTCCAATAGCCCATTTTGCACTATTCTGAGCTCTGTACCCAGAAAGAATAGAAAATATGAACGCTTGCATGTGCACGGGTAGTTTCTTCCTGCCAATCTGTACTGCACCATCAAAAAATGAATTTACCTTAAAAATGTGAGATCCATAGGTAGTAAGCAATATTTTAGATAGTTGTTTCAAAATCCTTTCCTTTTGCTTTTTAGATGAATTTGTTTGAAAAAGAACAAATCTTACTGCTCACTGAGTTTTACCTGCTTTATCTCCTTGATTCCTTCAAATTTGAAAAAAAATATATATAATGACATGTCTTAGAAAGCAAATTGCAGGAAGGAAGAGGACACAAACAAAACTCTGAAAACATAAACTAGAAAACAATTTCCACAAAACTCTCTAAATGGATTCTAAAAACTGTTTGTACTTGGAATGCACATTTCTATTACACTATATTTTACAACTCAATTCTATAATCATCATGGACATCTCTACAATATTTTACATTTTGCACTGATCTCATTTTGCAAATCAGAGAAAAGGCACTTTTTCCATTATGCGAATTCACCCTTATGATTTCTAGACCTTTACCTGGTCCTCAATTGTGCTGCAATAATCAACTGGTTGGTCAGATTCTGTCGTAGTAGATTTGTTTTTAAATCATTTCCAGTTTCCCCACTGGAAATTTCTGGGAAATGGTGTGCACTGTGCCTCAGATTCACCTTTTCCTGAAGAGAGAAAGGAAAGGAAAGGTATTTATGCTCGAATTCTTGTCAGCCTTTGGGTGAGGACTGTCCTGGGAGGATGTGTGGTTGCAAAAAAAAGATGTGAATGGAGTCGGTTACACCTTTTTTTTGTCTGAAAAATAATTAAATATTATATCCCTTTTAGTAAAGTTATAAAGCTAAATTAAAGCCATAGTACTATAATTTCCCTCATCAAGACATGTGCATATGGCAGAGGTGGAGAGGAATGAAACTGCATTTTCCTCATCTTGCTTCTCAGGTAGTAAGCAGGAAAGGATGATTTATTTAAAAAGTAGAGCTCTGTGTTCATCATTATTCTTCTACTCTGAGAGTGATGATGGGCACTAGACCCTGGTCATGCTCTACTCTGCTCATTCTCCTTGCTGCTGATCAAAGCCATGTGGTGGGGTTACCAGGTAACCGTGTGGGTGTTTTTCTTAGTGCAGAGCTCCCCTATATTCACCCTAGCCTCTTCTACCAATGTTTCTCCATTCAGACATAGCAGCCATGACAGTAGATCATGCCCACAATGTTCTGGGATAGACAAGACCTTGTTGGGTTTCTTCTTCCTCATCTTATGGGCCCACAGGAGATTCATACATCTTCTGTACCCCTTTCAAGGTCATAGAGAATGAGATGGTTTGGGAGACTACTTACTCCATCTTCTTCCATGATGTACTACATTCCCTTCCCAATAACTCTCATGCTCCTGTACACTTGAAGGAAACAACAATGTGGTCACACAGATCCTACAAATCCATGGACACATAGCCTTGGATTTAGATGCAAGGGCTCTCTGGGAGAGTCCATCTCTGACTCCTTTGGAACATCTCTCATCTCCTTGGGAAGAAGAAAACTTCTCACTGTGAACACCTCTTTTCAACATTTCTAATGAAGATTGATTTTGACTCTTGGAATTTTCTATAGATAGACTAGGAATAGGGCCATCGATTATAGTTAGACCATTCATATAGTCTCTTGCTATTTTGATCTCAATTAGTGGCTCTCTTTGGAACCTAAAGAAGAATTTTTCAAACTATTCTATGCACACATGTTACTTGGGAATCTTATTAAAATACAGATCCTGACTCATTGAAATCTGTGTTAAGGCCTGAGATTCTGCACTTCTAACAAGTTCCCAGGTGATGCTGATGCCGCTTGTTCACAAACCACAGTTTGAGTAGCAAGAATAGCATACTTAGGACCTCTTTAACCAGATTCTGTGTGCCCTAGTTATAAATGCAAATAGAGAAGGCAGAAGGAGGTATCCAAGCAATGCACAGAAGGATATACTTATTTACCATGTGAATCCTTTTGTATGATTTGGTAACTTTTGTCTTTATGGGTTTTGTTTTTTTTAACAGAGGTTTAAGTAACACAAAAGCAAAGAAAAAATCAATTGCCATACATTTATTTATTTTTTTAGAAAAATATTTATTTCAAAAGATTCTTTTTAAAAAATATATTTAGAATATTTCCATGCTTATTGGAGTAACTTTAAGTAATATTTCCTCTTTCATGTTGTTTTTACAAACGTAAGTGAAAAGGACACATACACACACACAATCGTTTCACACTGCTACAAGTGAAACAGTTTGTCTTCCTCACTTAAGATGGTCATGCTTATTTACAAAACAACTGCTTACCTAAAGGAAATTTAAAATGCATAAAGTTAGACTCTATAGGTAGTATACTTTGACTGTACCACATTCATTCTGGATTTCTCCTTGTTAAACCCAGAAAGAGTATAATCACATGCATTTAGACTTTAACATGAAAACTCCTGTGGTTGTTCTCTCAAATACAAACTTCCTCAAAAGATTATATAACTTAGGAAAATAAGTTAAATTTATTTTCCTGCTGTGCCAGTCCTGGCTGAGTGCTTTGGTCTGCATTCCTGATGTGGGAATTTTTATTCCTAATGTGGCTCGCCTAATGCAGGTCTCTTTGATTTGTTCTTCTGCTTTTCTTTCCTTCCTATCCTGAATGGGATGCTGCTGGGGTTAATGGAGGATTTGGTGCTCCCAGACTTGAGTCTTGTTTCTTTCCAATTTCTGATTCCAGTTAGCCCCAGGTTCCCTGTACACTCAGCGCCATCTCTGGTCACCAGGTGGAACTGCAAACCAGAAAATTTCCCGAGTCGTTCACCAGCCTTTGGAGGCTCTAAGGTGGTCTGGGCTTTTTGCATCTCTGAACATGCTGAAGAATCTGGCGATGAACTTGCTGGCACACTTGCTGATCTTGAGTAGCCCGCGCCTATCTTTTTTTTTTTTTTTAACCTTGTCCTCCACCTTCCAAAATAGGAAAGTTACAGCCATCTAATGTTCTGGAGGCTAGCTGTATACACAATACTAGTTACAGACATGAAACATTTTTCCCCCAAAACAAATCCTGTTATCGGAATGTTTTAGGCATACTCATTTTGCAGTGCTTCAGTAAGTACTTAGCTAAATGATTGCCTCAAGTTTTTCCTTAATTTTTTGTGAGCTTCAGACTCACCTGCATTTTAATGTTGTCTGACATCTGCCATGTTCTGCTTTCCTCTATACTTTCTTTATATGTTTGCATCTTCCTCCCTCTCCCTTCCTGGACCAAAACTTGTTTGAATAAACCAGGTCTAAAAGTCTAAAAGATAGACATTTAATTTTACTATACTTAGATTAAGCATAAATCAAATTGTATTGTTTGTAAACAATATCTAATATTTTAATAAAATGTTATCCATTTAATCAGAATATTTTTGTTAAACCGAGGCATTTTCATAGACCTATAAATATCATTATTTGTTCTTTTTGTTACAGTTATTCTCTCCCATGGTTTTCTTAATAGAAGAAGAGAATAAAAATTACAACTACAAAGAAGTAAGATATTAATCTCTGATCTTCTTGCTTAAATAGGAAATTACTGCAATATGCAAACCCAAATCAAATCCTGACCCTGAAAAAATCACTGTGTGTTTAAATAAAATGAATACAAGATAGCCTGGGAGAATTTGAAAAATGTAACTATTTTTATCTATTTTAAATGATTGAGTAACATTTGCTGTGTAGTTGAACAAAAATGTTGTTCTTCAATTTTATATCTCATAGTAAAAATGTGAAAATTAAATATTTATTTAAAAATTTGGGTGGTTTCAATATTATTTTCTTTTTATGATTAATCCATCTCCCTAATTAGGTCCAAGCCACTCAAGGAAAAAAAAAAAGAAGAAGAAGAAAAAAAGATATTTTTCACATCCCTTCGTTCAGTACAGGGTAGAATACATGGCATGTCATTAAAGATTTGCTCTTGATCAAGACCTCAGCAGATTGACTGAGGGACTCTCAATTCATTGAGGTAAAATATGTTATGCTTCTACTTTGAAGGCCAACCACAGTTGTTTTTCCTATATAGAAAAACATGACATGAAAAAGCCAATTTACCATTTCAAGAATATAAAAGGCAAGACAGCAATAATATTGTTCTCCATTTTGAATTACTTCTATGGAGAGAAATGCTGTCATACAGGAATTCCTTAAACTCTGAAATGTGGCATATGTTTGTAGTACACCTCCAAACACAGGCTATTCTGTGTGGGCACAAATTAGGCACAAAACAGCAGGCCAAATTTATTCTGTATTCACTTGCAAAATTTCTGAACACTTTCTTATTTGCATAAGGACAAAAGTCCTTGACAGATAGAACCAGCAATAAGGGGTTCATATAGAAGATCAGACAGGAACACCAATGACTATGTATACATACATCCATGTGATGCGTATATAGATAGATACACACATATGTTATTATATAATAAAACAGTATAAGAAAACTATCATATCAATCTCTTCATCACAGAGTTCAAAAGAGACTAACTCCATGACCTTGATATAGTACTGATGGACATTTTGTTGTTTCATTTAAGGATCTATCTGGTTTCCCAAGTTTCTAAATACCTCATCTTGCCTCATGTCTGGAAAGCACTACGGGACGTATGTCAAGAGTTAGTAAAATACACCATGTTGTAGCCCTTTTTTATATCATCTAATTTATATAATATTGGTTTGATTTCCAAGAGAAGATGTTACTAATTAATCTAATAAATCTTTCTATTTTGCCATTAAAATACGTTTTAATTAAATCATTCAGGATCCTTTATGTAACTGTGTATTCTAGAAAGTTTGATTCTCTTTTTAAGTAGTAAAGGGAGATGTTTTGGTACCAGCAGTATTGTTTTATCCTTCAACCTATATCACAAAGAAGTTTATCTTTTTATATTATTGTTAACTGTTAAAAAGTTAGCCAATCAGTCTTAGTTTTAGGGTTTAATTTTTCTGTAATTATAAAAAGCAAAGCCAGATCTATGTTAATATAAAATGAAGGGCTAAAATAAAATCATTTTTAAAGAACTAAATTGTTTCTAATTTGAAACAATTTTTATACTTTCCTTATTTTCATTGATTTCCCAGAAATATTATTTGTCAAGAGGAAAATCAATTGTCCAGCTTCTGTCTCTAGAATGAGTTCTGCCAGTGTTTGTTAGCATGGCAGTTACTTCCATGTGGTCTGTAGATTTACCTCTAAGGTCACAGTTATAACAGGACTAATGCAATAGTTTAGTTTTATATTAAATTACAGCATAAATTCTAAGTCAACAACATACCAAATCATTATGAAGCTGTGTTAGGAATGGGAAGAAGTTGCTGTGTTTTCTTAACATAATGAGATAAAGACATAGTTCTCTATTCCAGATGCAGTTTCTAGGAAATAAGACATTTGCAAGTTTGTGTCCTACACTTTTGGTGGTGGATTAAATCAGAAACTTTAAGAAGTTTTGATTTATAAATTATCTTTGGAATTGTATTTTAAAAAAAAAGACCATGGTAGAAATAGAGCTAAAGTACATGCCTGCAATTCCAGCAACTCAGGAATCGAGACATGAGGATTACAAGTTGAAGGCCAGCCTCAGCAACTTAGTGAGACCTGTCTTAAAATAAAAAAGGCTGGGAATGTAGCTCAGTGTTAGAGCACTGCTGTGTTTAATACCAGTACCAAAAAAAAAAAAAAAGAATTAGAACTAAAATGTTGATGTTCAACGTAGAGTGAAGAGTGAAGGATGATCTCTTTGCGACCAGAAAAGGGATAGTATCTTCAGCATGATGTTCTAAGTATAAGTAGGAGAGGAATGCTTGGAGAAGCACCTTGAACAGTTTTTTAAAAAATGTAGAGTTCCAGGTGAATAATTCCACTCTTAACTTGCTAAGTTGAACTGGAGTCTGCCAGTCAGCTACCACAGGGGGAAACAGAATGATTTGCTAGCACCCAAAATACTATATATTAATATTGGAATGTCATGAGTTAGACTTTAGATGGATTTTAAGACTTTATTCTGACTTATTATCTTTGAAAAGAAGTATGTTCAATGTTATTTAAATAATAAAATAAATGTTATTAATAAGCATGTTAAAAAGAACAAGAAAGAAATCTCAAGATGGAAGGTGAAGCATCCTCTGAATGCTCAGGTTGCAGTCCACCACCAGTAAGCAGTGAAACCAAAGAGAACTCTGAAGATGGAGAGGAAGGAGGGAACAGCCCTGTTAATATAAAGCTAATTTGATCCATAAAGCTGCTGTACTGGAAACACTGTGGGGTTTGTGCATGGCTTAAACAAAACCATAGAAAATGATAAATACTCTGAAATGCACATACAAATGATGTATGATGAAAGACAATCTCAAATTTGTACCATTGTTTCTGTTTTTCCTTTTAATCAGCGGCCCTTGAATGGCTGGAGAGCTACCTAGATAGGCAGTGAAGCTGGACCCGTTACTCACAGGATTCAACAAGGCAAGTGTCAAATGGATCAGAGTGAAACACACAACCCCCTGAACCAAGTGCTAGAACAACTTGGCTGAAGTACCGTAAACTTTAGTGGAAATACCTTGCCACCTAGGATTCAAATTCTGGAGGCAAAAAGAAAAAAGCAAAGTAGTACAGAAAAACTATAAGGCTTAAACAAAAAATCTCCAATGGCCTAAAATACTATAAGGAAGGTAATAAGGAATTTAGATAAGTTCGAAATAGATTGATGACTTAAATATTGATCATTTAAAATAGTAACAGATTGGTAACCCTACTATTATTTAATGTTGATAAAAATGGAAGAGATTTGATGGCCCTATATAAAAATGGCCTATAGAGATTAGATCAATTTGTAGAAATAATAAATGCAAGTGGTTTAATCATGTGAATAAGTATTCAACTTTGTTCACGAGAAGAGAAAAAAAAAAAAACTTCACCAAGAGTTTTTCATTTATTAGCTTGTCACAAAATCAGAAAACAATTAATGAAACTGAAAAAAAGAGGCACTTTAATGTATCTCTACAGAGAAACTAGCATAGAGACATTGCAATGGAAAATTTGAAAATGTCCAGCAAAATTTCATAGCATTTATCTTTTGACCAGTAATCCCAGGTTTACAAATATACCTCACATATATACTGACATGACAATTTTAAAAACATAAGTAAAGCTTTTCATTGCAGGAATTATTGGTTAGAGCAACTTAAATGTACATCAGTAGGGAGTTAGTTAAATTATATCACACAGCCACAATGTGTTACTATAAGGCAGTAATAAATGAATGAGGAATATGTATATATCCTAGTAGGAACTGATTTTAGCGAAAGTTTTTACTAAAAAAAAGCAAGGCAAAAAGAATGTATAGTATGGTGCACTGTATCTCTTTAAAAAATGTAATTTAGTGTGTTTTTTTTGTGTGTACATTTCATATTAACAAAAAAATAATATTTAAAAAATTGATATCCATAAATAAAGGAAGTATTAGGAATGAGGACACTAGACACCTTCATTTTGATTTTTAAATTATGAAAATATTTGATGTAATAAAAAAATCAATTGTGTATATTTTTAATTTTAAGAAATTGTGTGTGTGTGTGTGTGTGTTTCTGGGGATCACAAGACGGCTTTTCTCATGCTGAGCATGTGCTCTGGTCACTAATCCACAACCAACCCACTTAAGAAACCTGAATGAATTGACACAAATGAACCCCACAGGGTATGTTAATTATGATATGTCCACACAGAGAGAAACTACTATGAGGCTTTAAAGGTTTACCATGACTAACAAGATAAACAGGACAAAAGGACAAGGAGAGGTAGGGAAATAAATTGAATTATCTTGCAAATCATATAGTTGGTAGCAATGTTTATGTTATAATTCTGATATCATTCTATGTGTGATAAGAGGTAAATTAAATAGATACCTCTGTGGTATTCTGTCACAACCAACACCTTTGAGAACCAGGATTCTCAGTGCAGGAGTAAGACAGATGTAAGGTAGAAGAGACTCATCAAAATCTCCATGGTCCTGAATTTGAATTAAAAATATAATTATGACACATCATATTTCTTATCTTTTATTCAAAGAAACAGAATAGCTAGTTTGAGAAATGGCTGATTCAGTTCTAGGTAGGAAATAAACAAATTGAGCCTGAAACATTTTGTTATATCAGATATTTAAGAAGAAAAAGACTCATAAAGCTCAACAAAGAAAGCTCAGGAGACAACCTAAGAGATTCCTATTGACCAAAAATGAGAAAATTTGAATACTGATGAGAAAAATAACTAAAATGACAGAAACATAAAGTGTGTCATTTTCATATGATTCCAAGTACACTTTTTATAAGTGATGGTCAACTACTGTTTTGAAAGATGGTAAATAAATAAAAAGTGGCAAATAAGTTCTACCATCGAAAGCCAAATAAAAAAATGAAGGGAGTTTTTTACTTTTTGAAGTAATCTAATTATTAAATGATGGAGGGGATCCCACAATTTCCCAGCTCATAATGAATTAATGAATCAAATTGTAAACAGCTCCTTGCACCATGAAAATAGATGTAGTAGCCACACAGTGCCTGATTCATGATGGAAGGACACCATAGCCCCACCGAAGTAGTCTTACTTAAAAAAAAAAAAAAAAAAAAATTGAACCTATATGTAATTAAGTTTCTAGATCCAATTATCAAGACAGACAAAAGAGAAGACAGAAGAACATCATTAAAGAACAATCAGCAAAATCTAGATAGTTGGAATCTCCCCTGTATAAATAATCTAATTTCTTCCATAAATAAGTTGCCAGGGGGAAAGTGTTAGAAAGAAAATTTATAGATAATGGATGCATAAACCAATTGCAATTTGTGGCCCTTTTCTGATTCAGATTCCAGTAGCAAATGGCAAGACATTTAAAAAACAGTAAATTAAAAATACAGTGATAACACATGTCAAATAGATGGGGTATTAAGGAATTACTGTTAATTATTTTTAGGCAATGTTATTGAATTTGATTTTCAAAATATCTTTAAGAGCTATAATAAGAAGAAATAATATGATTAATAGGATTGCTACAAAATAACAAAGGAGAAACTAGAAAATATTAGCCATAGGAAAGTAGTTGTATATGTTAGTGGTTACATGGGGTTCATTATACCTGAAGTTTATATGTGTTTGCAATTCTCCTTTTTAAAAAACTTAGAGTAACATGTTTGGTGGTCTTGAAGGACAAATGGAACCTGTTTTAGAGATTAAGGAAGTTTCTTAGTGAGGGGTAAAGGGCTAAAGCAAGCACAGTTCAGAAAACAGGCTGTTGCTTGGAATTTTAAAGAGCAGAGAAAACATAAGGCTGGAGTGTTGGGCAAAGGTCAGGTCTTGAGGATCCTGTATCCTACAACAGAAGTTTACTTTATTGTGAGGGGATTAGGGGGCCATTAAAAAGTTTTGAGTAGGAGACCAAAACCATTGAAATGGAGTTGAGAAAGTTCAGGAAGAAATTGTGGGAAAGATTGATTGAAGTGAGAACAGACAGCAGTAGACATAGGAGTTAGAAGCCTCGCATAGTAGCACTATAGGGGAATTGTTTTAAAAATATATTGATAGGACTTAGTGATTGTAAATAAGAGTTGGGAAATAAAATTCCAGGACTACTTTCAAATTTTTGTTTTAACCAGTATAGATAGAGATGTAACTAAATTAAAACAGGATAATTTTTCTGGGTTCTGAGACTCTCCTCATGAGAGCTAAAACAAAAACAATCTATCAAGAATGGAGCAGTTTAGACACCACTGTCCAAGTGATATGAAAATCAGTCATCACTGAGCTTGGTTCTTTGAGTCATACACACAGTTCTCTATGTGATGGTAAACAGACATTCACATGTTCTCAGCCACAGTTCTCAAATTTTTGAGAGTACAGATAGGATCCCGAATCTTGAAGGGTCCAGGAAAAGAGAAAGGGGAAGTCCACAGGATGTATATTAACGTTACATTCAGATAGAAAGCATATCATTTATATCAAAACGGATGTTGATGATTTCATAAGCTAATAGAAACAGAGGGATGCTAAAGCCCAAGCCAATACTCATTCCTGCCATTTGTCATCAGGCCTCCTATTTGCTTCAATTCATTGACTGTGAGAAGACAGGGATCTGGGGCTTTCATCAGTAGTGCCAACTGACGTGCCGTGGCTCACCAAAATCACAACACAGGCTAACAAACCTACAGATATGAAACCTGTCCCTCCACAAACTTGTTGGGCGTCAGTATCATTCATAGTTCATGAGTGATCTAGATTTTTGAAGTTAGTTTAATGGCATATTTAATACAAATTTTTATTTGGAAGCTTATGTGGAATAGTCATAATAAGCTCCACTTTCCATTGGTAATCTATTAAATGGTAAGGAGTTTCTGTACAGAGAAAAACAACTGGTATCTTTTCTGGTTCCCTGTTATTGACAGTACAAAGAGCAGAAAGTATTGTTTGACTAAGCAGCACAATTACAAATAGAGACATTTACATCCGTGACTAATGATCAGACACCTAAAATGGCTTGCACTGCCAAATATTTACTTTTGCCTTCAAAATAAAATGTTTTATAAACATAGGGCTGGGTATGTGACTCAGTGGTAGAGCAAATGCTTAGCATGCAAGAGGCCCTGAGATCTCTATCCCTTAGCACCAAGTTAAAAAAAACAATCACTACAAACCTAGCTTAATGAAAAGTTCTCAAAGCTTCTCTCTTCTTGCAGTTCATCATGTTTGGAGTATCTTCCTCCTACACTTTTTGATAGTCTCTTTTACAAGTGACTCATTCCAGTGAGGTTGTTTTTTTTTATTTATTTATAATTACATTTGACGAGATTCTACTGTTAAAAAAAAATCATAAATGTGAAGTTCCATGCCCAAGCAGGAAGCAAATATATTTCTTCAAAAAATAAAATAAAATTCAAACCATTCCCCCTGTCAAGGTGTTAATTTTTATTAGAGCAAGTATTTGATCTACTCCAGATGTAACTTTCTGTGGTCCAATAAATACGATAGTGTGGCTTTCAAAAGCCTTTAATTAATGTTAATTTCATATCTTTTATGTCATGATTGAAAGTTACAAAAAAAATACTCCCTGTTCCCTGGTAACTATTTGCTAAAATTGAAAGACAGATACACACACACACACAAACACACACACACAAACACACAAACACAAGCACACCATACAAAATATTGTGAAATTATTACAAACATTTGGTTTTCATTTTCATTTTGCATAAATAAATGTTTTAACATGTAAGAAGAATATTTGAAGCACTTAGCTAGAAAATTTAATGCACAAGAAAACTATTCTATTTCTATTAATAAAAAGATATAACCACAACATTTTTTAAGCTTTGATTAAACTCCTAAAGTCATATGAATTTCTCTTTCATTTACTGAGAAGTATTTAGAGAATTTTATACTGATAAGGTTCTAAGAATTGCTAAGGACAAAGCTTGTATATTAAAAGCATCATTGAATAACTATCTCTGGATTCAGCAAAAATATAGTCTAGTATTGACTATCTGATATGTGGCATTTTATTTTGCAATCAAAAAATACAGTCATTATTATAATATACTGAGTAATATGTTGGGTCCTATGATGGTGAGAAAATAAGGTTCAATTTCTATAGGCTTATTCTTTTGACATATTTATGTATGAATGTTCTACTGTACACTTCAAACTTTAAAAAAATATAAATACTATAAGATTTCTTCACGGCTCATTTTCCTCTTGTTTTAGGCTTAAGGGCTGCTGCATGTCAGCTCTGTACCAAGCTGCTGTTGCTAGGATCTATCTGTTTCCATAGCAATAGATGAACTCTTCAGATGCATCTAGAATTCCTCCTCATCTTGGCTATGCCAGTATCCCTTGTCCATATGTAAATCAGCATCCAAATCTCCAAATGCAACAGAATTTTTCAATGATACCATACAGCATTTAATATCCATACACGTGCAGTATTGTACAGTATTGATTTTTTCCCTTTAAACACTGCACTGTTTTAGCAAAATGTTTAGGTTGTACAAAAATTCCTATGACCTGAGGATTAACACCCTGCCAAGTTAATAAAGATCAGAAATGTTTTCTGCTAATGCACTCTTCGGAAAGAGCAATTATTAAGAGAAAACAATGGTGCAAATTGCCAACTTTCTTTCCTTCCTTTATCATTTTATCCCCCTCCCCTACGTTATTCCAAACATCCAGTATAAAACCAAGAAGATGCAACAAAGTAATGGGCACTATACTTCACAAGGATTTGCACCATTCTCTTTTGGACTGAAGCCCAAATTTCAAGTATCAGTTGAGATTGATCCTTCAGAAGTTTCTAGACTCTCAGGAGTTGTAGAGGTCTATGTATGAAGCATCACCATAGTCCCTCTGGCTGATGTAGTTGTCCTCACTGGATATAAAATTATCACTATGGATCATCTTAAATTTGGGGGTTTTGTTCAGGTGCTTCAAAAACCAGCAGGTACAATACTTAATCAAACAAGTGACAGAAGTTCCTCAATAAACAGAAAGAGAAGCAGTAGAGCTATTACTCAACACCTCACATTATGCTAACTAATCCTTTGCAAGCACCAAAGAAAATAAGAACTTGGCATATCTGTAAGAAAGAGGAAAAATAAAGAGAGGTAGGAATAGGAATCTTTACAGATAATGCTGCAGCTCACTCTTGGGAGCAAAACCTTGTTTTGAGAACCCAGACCTGACACTGGTTTCTTTATGTAACTTGTTACTTTTGGGGGGTGAATAGCATCACTTCTGTGTCACACTGTGATTCAAGAAGGCTCTCTCTTCAGTGCCAGACACAGTCCACTTTCCCTACCATCCCTAGAGGCGGAGGGAAAGAAACACAATGTCCTTAGCCGAACTGTGTCTGTTTGCACTCAAATTGCCTCTGATTATAGAAGTATTAAGTTTATTAACAAGGATTTATTTTATCATATTTTCCAATCAAATACACTGATTTTGTATTATGCTTCCAACATCACTCTCATCTAGGAGAAAAAAAAATGTAATGTGACCTTTTTGAACAGCTATATCTTGTACCTTTGGTCAACAATACTATATTACTGAGATGTTAAATGTCATCGTAAGTGGTTATTACCACAATAAAATAAAATTTTTTAAATATTTCATTTAGAAATATAAAATGACATGTTTGTCCTCTTCATATAAACATATTAGGAAAGAAGTTGGGATTTGAAATAATATGTTAGGTGTGATTATGTAATTTAATTTTTCTTATTTATAGTTTTTTCAATGTTACTTTTATAAAGGCCGAAAAAGCTCCAACTTGTGTTTCTTAGAAAGACCATATGTCAATTTGTAATTTTTGTCCAATGATTTCCCAAAACCAAGATTAAACTTATTAGAAATAGCATCCTCTTCTAAATATGGATTTGACATTATAAGATCACTAATTGCAGAGAATTTAAGTGACTTCTGCAACCCCTCAGAACCACGAAGAGCTGCTACTGCTCAGAAAAAGCTGTTGGCTGCCTTTGCCGGCATTTGGCATCCAGATGATGGTTCCTGTCGTGTCCATTTCTGTTTTCTTCTCATTAGAGAAAACAGCAGAAGATAATTTCAATACTAATTATATTCTTCACTCTGCATTCAATTAGGGATAAACAGAGTTATCTCAAATAAACTTTCATCTCTATAAATGTTCCTTCCTTATATTTTATACTAAATGCAGAAAGAGAAACATATGTAGAAACCCTGTGTGAGTTATTTTTTCAAATTAAGATTTCATTATTTCATGTTCAATCACTTATTGAACAAAAATATGCAACTATCACATTCCAGACTTGGCTAAGCACTTAGGTGGCAGAAATGAGCCATGAGATGACATCACTGCCTAATTAATTATTATGTCATTTGTGCATGATGAAAATAATTACTGTTGCATAAACACTAAATGAAACATTTTAGTTATTATATGCAGCATAAATGTGAATACTATTATAGAAGTTACTGCACTGATAGTATGGTAATTATTACTATAATACATACATGATTCACTAATTAATGATAACTATAATAAATATAAACTTTCAGCAACTTTACATTATAAGGTATATATTATATGTATAATGTAAGGAAAAAGTTATTATTATATAGATTATTTAGAATTGGTTTCATCAAGCCTGAAAACGTATTCTCCTACATATTAGAAATTGCCCTAATGAAATAAGAAAAGCTTTATGACAGAGATTTGTTAAAATAATGGTTAAATGCACATAAAATTAATGCAATCCATCTTTAAATTCAAAAGAAAGAAGTATGTTTAGCACCTTGCACACATATTTTCAATAAATGGTAAGTGAATAGAAAAGATGGCTACATTGTAATCCATTTTTAAATATATCAAAATGATAACATTAGCTAACTTTGGTGGTTATATTTGTAAGTGAATTTTTAAATTCATTTTTCACATTTTCTAATTTTTGTATCTTGAGCACATGTAACCTTTTCAAGTTACATTAAAATTATTTTGTAAATATAATTGAAAGATGGAAATACAGAACCTAAACTCTAAGTATTAAAAAACATTAAGTTAGAAAATTACTTGAAGATGAATCTGGTCAGCAAAGAAGTAAAAATATTTTATCTCCAAAGTCTTGATCTGCTTTCTCCCAGACAGGTATTCTGAGAATAAAAAACACCCTCTCTTGATATTACTGTGTTGCCACTGGTAAGGTACCAAAAATTTCCATCTGAACTGGAGTGTGAGAAAAGATATCCAAAGGATCCCATGCCTTAAGAATTACAAATCCATGTCTAAATCCTAACTCAGGAAACAGGGACATTGATGTGAACACCGTGAACATCAAACCACAGCGAAGGGGTCTCTTTTCCCATGTTTGGTGATGTAGCCAGCACGGATGCTAATTCCCAACATACATTTAAAACCAGTTCCTGGAAGTCACGGCAGGCTGCATGAGCATAGGTATTTGCAAGTACATGCTTGTGACCAGGTAATAGGAAAGAAAGTTTAGGAATAGAAAACCATCTAAACAGCAAACTTGTACAAAACTTGGTGTTTGGTCTTAAAAAAATATACTCCATGAGAGCCCTTTGTTACAAGGGCTCTTTGTTGCTTCATTTGACAATGACTTCAATCTTCATTTCCAAAATACAGAATGTGGTTTTTCACCTGTGACTTTTATTCCTGTGATGAGTTTTACCAGAAATAATTTTCTGATCCTGACTAGAGATTGTCTCTTTCTCCTTTAAAGCTTAAGTCTGTTTTGTTCACTCCCCATGAAATAAACCTGGCACATAGTATATGCTAAGTAAATATTTGAATGAATAAGTAATAAATGCAGTTCCATGTAGCTTTCCCCCTAAGCAAAAGTGTTTTTGCTTGCCACAAAATATCTGTAATACTGTTGATATTTTTAAAGGCTACTTAAAACATGTTGCTTGAAATTACTGTTTGTTCTTAAGTAGTTTCCTCCCGTATGTTGTAGAAAGAATGTGATTGTCTTAATCCTTATCTAGAAATTTCCCCACTAAGGAAAAAAAGGACATTTCTAAGTAAAATAGGCCAAGAAAGCAATACACAATGGTAATCAAAGTGGAAAAAGTATTCTTCAATGTAACTAATATCTTTTTGGATTTGGGTCCAAAAAAAAAAAATCTAATTCAATCTAATATAGATCGGCAAGTGACTTGAAAGAAGAAATAAAATATTTATACAATATGTGAGTGAAGAGAAACTTGATAAAGTGTGCTAAGATGGATAACCAAATCTCCATCAAAAAAGAACTTAATTAGCAAACTTTTGACTTATCAATAGCTTGTATTAAGTCAACTTCTTTGACTTTTTAAATATCAAAATAGATGTCAAAATCATGATATGAATGATAAAATTCTAATGTAATCTTATAATAAAGATATAATTTCTGGGACAGGTAAGAAGAATCATATTTACTAGGTACTGATGAGAATGTCTTGAATTTTTATATTCAGTTCTTGGACCACGCTTAAAAAAGAGGCATAGAAAATTGAAGAACAGGCAGATTGTTGATGGGTCTGGAAACCATACCGCCCAGAGTTCTTGGATAAGGATTTGATCTGGAAAGAACAATCAGAGGTCATGACTGTTCAGTCTTCAGCTGTCAAAGGAATTCTCTTCGAGGAACGGTGATGAGTCTTGGCAAAAGGGGAAAAACACAGGAGAGGTGAGGACCCCAGTCTAAGGAGGATTGTAAATGAGGAAATCTGCACGTTAGCAGAGGGTGTGGCCAGACTGACAGGGAGGAATATGCTGGTCAGTATGTGGTCAGGCTGACAGGGAGGAAGACTTGTTCCCTCACTGAAGATGGTCCCATCCCTGATGAGGAACTGTTGGGGCACTCTGCAGGGACTGGGGTAAACTAGATAATCTTACAGAGACTTTCATGGCAAGCTCAGATTCTATTTCAGAGGTCACAAGGCATCATTTGCTAGGAAAGCTGCAGGAGGACTCTATCTTTGCTGTCCCCTCTCCATCACGTCAGAGCTCTCCAGCGCCAGGGGTCTTTCTTCTTTGAGTTCTCTGCCCCACTCGGAAGGGGAACTACCTGGAAATGGTGCAACATAGTCTTTGCAGTCTCCCCTTGTTCTTCAGCGTGGCAGCCAAAGCAAAATCATCAGGGACAAACAGCAAGAGTCAGGCTGCCAGCAATGGACAAAAGGAATGGACACTCCCATATAAAGAATGAAAAAAAAAATTAACAAGAAAGGACACCAAGTTAAGATTTTTTTTTAAATTGTGAGGAACAATGAGCCTATCTCAAAGCTATATATTAGAGACTATGGAAAGTGAAAATTGGTTTGATGTTCATCAGATTATAGATGCAAAAAGAAAGATAAAAACCTGAATGAAATTTAATTTCTCATTAGTTTAGCCACAGCAAAATGCCATAGTATTTCTATTCTTCCTTATCTTGGAATTTTAAATAAATGTTACTTTCCACCCCATCTCCAAGAACACAATAGAATAACTCATTGGCACCAACTTGCCTGAAGTAAATTCCTCAGCACAACTTTTGACAGGTGGTTGGATGAGTATATGTGGGCAGTGTTAACAGAGGAGATCTAAAACATCAAATAGTAATTATTAACAAACTTGCAGTTATTGAATTATTCCTGAAATTAAAGTCTCTTCTGCCTCATATATATCAAGGTATAGAAAGAGTGCACCTCCTCAGGTCAGGTTGCCAAGGTTGAGTTCCAGCAATTCTCTTAACTAGATAGTGCAATTACATAATCTTTATGAAAACTGCTTCCACTTATGTGAGGGAAAAAAACAATGGTCTTGAAAAGGAGGATTTTCATTTTATCCTTTTTCGGTTCTGTACACTCTAAGAAGCCACCAGCGGGTTCAGGTTTTCAATCTTTAATATTATTTTTAAAAATTATAAGGTCTACGTGAGCAAAATTTGTGTGCAATAAATCTTTAAAGTGCATTTTTAGAGAATGTTCTTTAACTTTCTCCTTAAGGTTCCTGAGGAAATAGCTTAAAGCACCTTAGTTTAAAATATCTTGGCTTGGCCTGATTCCACAGCTATTCACATTTTCATCTGTTCACAGAAAATTTTGCTTTTCATTGATTTTTTTTTTTGAATAATCCTCTTGGCAAATACCTAAGCCATGCATGATACATATATAGCTTGAAATTCATCCTCAAGAGCTGGTATTATTCTCAATAATGTTTAAGGAGTCATTTTTCACCACTCCCCACATCATACAATATATGAGGCACATTGGGGAGCTTTTCTCATATTTGGTCAACCTATCAAAATATCTCATATTTATCTCTGTCACTTTTATTATTATTACTTGCTAACACATTTTCAACATTTATTACATGCCTAGAACCATGTTTGGCTTTATGGTAAACTCTGAAAATGCCATTTCCAATCTGGTCTTCTACATAGGATTGCCAGGTGGAGCAGGTAAAATTCAGGATGTCCAGTCTAACTTGAACTTCAGATAAACAACAAACAATATTTTTCACACACACATTTCCCCTGCAACACCTGACATCCTGAATTTTATCAGGAAGTTCTGTTTATGCACCACATTGCCTTACACAACATTCTTTGCTCTCCTTGTACAGAGCCAGGCCTAAGAAACATTCAGATTGGTATAAAATCCATTTTCCTTCAGATGAACTAGAAAATTTATCAGTACCTCGTATTCACATTATTTTCTGAGTTTGCTCAAAGTCACTTTATATGTTCATAAGGCCTAAAACATTCTTAATTGAAACTGTATTCTGTAAATTCTTTTAGTGTACACTTTGTATTATGTCATGAAAAAATGAGTAATAAGCCAAATATAGAATAAACCAAATTATGGATGAAATGAGTGAATGCAAATCAATTTAAGAAAGAAAATTACATTTGCAAGATGCATGTTAATGAAATACGAAAATTAAGTTTTCAAATTTTTCATTTTTAAAATCTCTTAATTTTATCTCCAAGAATCTATTGCCTATCAGAAACAAGTTAGCTACTAATTCTGATGCTATTTATAACTACATATATAAAATTATGCTTCTTTTTATAATTCTGTGATTATAGTTCTATAATTACAGACTTATCATTCTTAAATTTAAAAAAAACGAATTTATTTATATATCTGCATACATACACACAGCGATGTCATCATATAACTTTACAATTTATCTTCTGTGCAGTTTGGCTGATGGAAAGGAATTATGGATTATCACTTTTCTAAAATCCAATAGTCACATAAAGTATTTGTTTGCGTGTTTTAAAACATTAGTTCTTCAGTGAAACTCAGAAAAGGCTTCACATATTTCACTACCAACGAGTGAACATCAGAACATGTGTGCTCTCTCTTTTTTTTTTTTTTTTTGTACTGGGGATTGAACCCAGGGACACTTAACCATTGAACCACATCCCCAGCCCTTTTTTATATTTTATTTAGAGACAAGGTCTCGCTAAGTTGCCGAGGTGGTTTTGAACTCCAGATCCTCCTGTCTCAGCCTCCAGAGCTGCTGGGATTACAGGTGTGTGTCACCACCCCGGATGTGTGTGCTGTCCTCTATATCTACTAAGAATGTATTACAACCTGTCCATCAATTAGACAAGGGACAGATGAGAGACAGACAAGTAGATAGATATACAGGGCTATTTTAAGGCTCTATTTTAATCCATAAAATGTGTTAAGCAATTATTGAAAGTAGAAATGTTTCCTTGGTGAGAACTTTTTATTCATTTTGAACTTGGTAACACTGAAAAGAAAACTGTGAATTAGACCTGCATGAGTCCTAGAGCATCATGTCTCCTTTACTTGTGAGACTTGGCTTTCCTTAAATACTTTGTCAGTTTCATGATGAACCCTGAAATGGTTTGAATGTCTCTATTACAGAAATTAGTTCATAAAATAAATCACTGGACATATACCTGAAATTTAATTTTCTCTGTGTCAGCTTTTGTTGTAGCTCTGCTGAAACCTCTGATATTTCTCAGCATTGGAAAAAAATCACATACAAGTGTCTCTAACAATGAAACATCTTACTCTCCAAGTTTAGAACTAAATGATTACAGACAAATATTTATTGGACATTAACATCCCAAATGTCCTTTCTTATTCTCTGAAATCCATAACCCAGATACATTTGGATATTGTTAGACCCCTTTTATATCTGAAACTACCATTAACCAAACTCTGGAATTATGTAAATATTTCTATGTTGAAAGACATCATGAGTTAACATAATGGTTCATTGCAAAAGACTGCTTCTAAAGAAAAGTAATTACCAAATCTCCATTCCATAAGATTAAGCTCAATCTATACTGAGTGAAAATTATTTTACAATGAACACAATTCTAATACTAATTCCCTAAATTGGACAGTATATAAGAATACATAAAAATAACCAGTCATTTTAACCTATTTTTCCTGTAGTCTCAGATGTAGAACACCTGTAAAAACTTAAATATAGACTATAATGTATAATTATATTTAATTATGTATTATATATTATTACATGTTATATAATTAAACCATATAATTATGTGACTCTATACCATTATATTATAAATACATTATATTATAATAGTATTAATTAATATAATAATATATAAGCTGTAGATTATGATTTAAAACCTATTTTAGTGCACTGTGTCAATTTTGTTTAAATACTTGCAGAATTCACAACTTGGGTTTTCAAAGGGTTAATAACTTAATAACCATTGATGGATAATTTGCAGCACATCCAGATTGTGATGAGTGCCTTTTAAGTATTATGTTGTTCTTTTTAGGTACTTTAATTATTTTTTCATAAAAAAATAAAAACACATGCACTTTACAAAATATGCATCTGTGTGTATTTCTCAACATAAACTTTTCCTGGCTATTTCTCCTCCCCAGGTTAGTGGCAAGAACTAATGAAAAGATGCTTTTTATTTCCCACTGCTAATATAAAATTATTTAACAACTGGCCAAAGTCTGAATGTTATTAAAATTTCTTTATAGAACTTGAATATGGCATATGTTACATGTTTACTTTACCAATGCATGAGGCAAATTTAATTAAAAAGCTTGAAATAACAACCCAAGGAGGTAACATTTCCATATATAAAAGTGACAATCACAGGGAGAAAAAAATATGTTATTTAGAGTTTATTTTATTAGGTTTTAGAC